CTGGGGCAGCCCCAGCATTTCCCTAGTGCCATCCACTCTCCCTGCAGCCCCCTCCCTGGCTAAGCCGGGCCTGTATACTCTTGCTTACCACGTGGAAGTTGATAACCATCAAGAATTTCTTACAGTGGCCAAAGCACAGGATTAGATGTAATCTTGTTTTTTAAACTGCTCAGAATTTTGAATTAAGTGGCTGTGGCCAGAATGTGAATAGAAAATGAACAGGATAATCCTGACCATCCCGGGGCATACGTGGGTCCCTCTCCATTGTCTAGAAGTTGACAGGAGTGAGGAATTGTGCCTGAATTCCTCAAATCCTTGTTTGCTACGAAAATAGAGCTGATGAAATAGCCAGTGTGAGCAGCCTAACCTGGAGTCATTCCTGACGATTCTCCACGGGCAGGCCCGACTCCTTAGGAAAAGCATGGGCTCAGGTTTTGCCTCCTGAAAAGCAGCACCTGCCAATGAGCACAGACCTTCCTTCTCCTCTCCCCAACGGCAGAGCTGGGTGCTCCTCAGGACCTAGTTCCTCAGTTCCGCTTCTCCGGGAAGTGAGGCCGCATGCCTTGGGCACCTCCCCTCTTGCATTGTCCTTCTGCCCCAGCTCGGTCTGGTAGGAGGTGGCAGCATCTGCGCATGGGACCTGTTCCTGTCAACGTCCTGGGCGTGGCGTGCAGCTGCAGACCTGTGCCTGTCCCGGGGTTTAAGGTCAGAACTCTTAATCCACATCTCACTTGTTTGGGTTTTTATCCCTACAGTGACCATGTAGCTTATCCGGAAACCCCGGGCACTGCTGGGAGGGTATGATAAATAATTAAGAAGGACCATAAGTTTAAGTTTAAATTGGGAATTTCTCAGGCATACCAGAATAAATGGCTCACTGATTGTATCCTCAGTTTCCGTGAGAAATTGAAGTCCATTGTGAGAAAATACAGATCTCCCTTTTCTAGCATCACAATAAAAGCATGACATTATCTTTGTTGGCCAGACTAGATACTTACTGTTACCAACAAAACTAGTATCATTTAGTAATGATTTAATCCTCTCAGTCTTTCCACTTTATGGATACATGCATTCATTGTTATACCTCATACTAATATCTTGGGTGGTTTTCTGCTACCTTCTAGGAAATAAAGCTGTTCCCTTAGTGTATTACTCTACATTTAATGGTACAGTTAAGGCACTTTTCAATGGTAATTCCATTCCATCAATAACAGTCAAACAATCACAGCAGCAAACACTTACTCATGGCTTCCTGCATGTATGCCCTGTGCTAAGAACCTTATCATCCCCCCTCTACCAAAGAGGAAACTATAATTCAAAGACATAGGAGAACTGCATGTGTCACAGAGCCAGGCTATAAATGCAAACAGTCCGACCTCTGTGCCCTGCTCTCAGGCAACACCTGACATCCACTTCTCACTTAACAACCTGGTCTCTGGAACCTGTGTCCTTAAGTAAAAATGAGTGTGATGCAGAAATGGAGGATGACTACATCAACTCTGCCAGATTACATCATGACACAACTGCCAAACCCACAGAGCCTCAGTGGCCCAGCCGTGCTGCAGAGTAGCCTAACCAGCACAGCCAGTGTTTCTCAGTCCAGCATCTGTCACTGCCAGATAGACATCATTAACACACACAATAGTCAAAGAGAGTTTTTACTGTTGTCATAAATGCACGATGTCAGATAACAAGCTAGTCTGTGAGAAGGTGGTGTATAGGGTCTTTATTCCTAGTTCAGGAGCTTCTTCCATTTTATATTCTAAAGCATATGAATGTCTCATGAGAACTGATGGAGCAATGTAACTTCCAGGTCTTTCCCTGGGTCAGCCATCTTTCCTGTGTGTGCCCACTGTTCTTGGCTTGTTTTCCAGGCAGCTGTTTCCCAACTTCTGCCATAGCTTCCTTTGCTTTACAGAGGTATGTGCAGTGGGAATTAGATTGTTGCATTCCTTCGGCTATGTCCCAGTTGCTGAAGAAATGCAATGTTAGTTGGACAAGTAATGTGAGAAATTCAGCTCAAATGTTGTTCAATCCCACATGGTGCTGGATATATGGCAAACTGAGGCCCAGGTTGATGCATTAGATCATCTGCTTAGCAGGATGCCCCATCACCCTTGAGGTTCCTGCAGATCTGGGCACTGAGAGTCCTTCCAGGCTTGTAGGAATCCACAGCTAAACTCAACACTCACTGGTTTTCCTCTCCAGCTCCTATGATGCTTCCTCTCATATGTAGCCAAGGGAGAAGGCTAGGAGAGTAAGTGGCAGGTGGTTTCCCTGTTACACAGGTTGCTGTTTTTCTCCTATTTCCACTAAGCTTTTTCAAATTTGTGGCATAAGGGCAGGCTGATGATCATCTTGTTAATAGATATTTTACTGGGTGCTTCCTACATGTGATTTTGTTTAATCCTGTTAAAAACACTCTTTTCCCCCATTTTATGGAGGGGGAAGTAAGTGGAGAGACACCACAAAGTGTTAATCCTTGGCTCAAACTCAGGGTCAAATAACACCCCATTCTCCTCCTCCCATGCTGGCCTGGGGTCAAGGCAGTACCTTCCTGTCGTGCATACATGTTAGTTTCATCCATGATTCTCTGGGCATCATTTTTTTCAGAACGGTTTGTGATTCTTTGACTCAGTAACTAGAAAGGACTCTGGTTGAAGAATCCAAGTGCGTATCCTTGAGCCATCTGGGTCAACTCTACCTGGAGGGGGAGGGTTCCTCCCAGGGAGCCAGGTGCCTCTTGTTTGCAGCCATGGTGTCAGCTCCCACTCATGGTGACCCCATCCTACTAAACACACTATCTGATGCATCTGCAGGTGACCAAGTTCATCAAGTTGAAGAAATAAAGGTGATGTGAGCAAAGGTTTCCTTCTACTTCTTGCCTTAGGCCTTAAAGGCAGAGGAAAGTTGATAGATCGTAACCAGCACTGGCTAGGAAATGGCAGCATGAACTGTAGGTAATGGGCTGTACAGCATGGCCCGTGCAAGTCCTACACTCGAGTGCTTGTAACTCCCGGATGCTACGGATAACGCTGTCAAACGCTAGAAACAATTGTGGCAGAACAAGGGTCCTGCGTCCATCGCGTAGTGAGAGGACCCACTAGGATATTTACTTGGAGTATCAAGCTGCTGTCCAGCAACTCTCACTGCTTCTCAGGGCCTCGGCCCATGTCTTGCTGCAGTTCTGAGACCAGTGACAATGTGTTGTCTGTTTTAGGGAACTCGCAAACCACATCCTCCTCAGAAGCCTTTACCAGCAGATCCCTTGAGCAAGATGACCCGGCTCAGCAGTGCCTCTGGGAGGACCCCAGGACAGCCAGCCTCTGGGCTCCGCCTGGCCCCTCTCAGGTTGGTGGGACTGGCCCTCAGCCACCTCTTCCTTAGCTCGGGACTGCTGGGGGGGTGGGGAGCAACTGAACCAGCTGAGGCTTCTCAAACTACCTCCCATGCTGAAGTCCTTGGCCACCCGCCCCCCACGGGGCAGAACATAAAGCAGCTATGGGAACAGATCCAACGATGACCAAGCAGCAGCCATGCGCTCCTGGTCACAGGCATCACCACGTAGCTCTTCGTGGTGGTCTGAGTGGACCTAAGAGATCCAATCACAATGAAGTAGAATTGGGTCCTCCACCCCTGAAAAGGTGGTGATCTGGTCCTGGCCATCTCACCAAAAGCAGCAAGGCAGTAAAGCTACTATGTGGTACGTTAGGAAGGCTGCACACCCACCACCAAGAATCTCATGGAGACTTAGTGGGCTCTGCCTGATTCCTGGGGTCTTGACAAATTACAGAAGCAAAGGTACAGAAGCTGCCTGGTACAGCTGGGAGCTCCTCTCAGTAGGAGTGGTGGTTAGTTGCCAGTGAATTGATCCAACTAATAATGCCCTCATGTGCAGAGTACAGCTGCCTCACTGGGGTCTCAGGCTGTGACCTTTCAGAAGCACGTCACTGTCTTAGATCAGTGTCCTCCAACACGCCTGCAGGGGATTTGAGCCTCCAGCCTGTGGGCTACGAGTGAGCATGACTGACCGTGCCACCCCGGGCTTTCCCACACAACCGGCAGGAGGAGCCTCTTCTCTAAAGAGACCCCTCCTGCGGGGGGAGAGCACTGCTGCTTTCCCAGGAAGACTAGGAAGGCAGAGCCTTGAGTCCTAAGTTAGGCAGGAGGGTGAGCCCTTTTGAGACCCAGTTAGTTTCTGCTTTAAATTTTTGGTTGACTTCCATTACTGAAAATCATGACTTCATTGTGAATGAGATGGGGGGTGGAATTTTGTGACAGGATTTTGATACAATTCACAGGACACATATGTCCCAAGGGGCTTCTGTTGCTAAAGTTAGTGGGATGAGGGGCATGCTTCTTCAGATTGTTATTCAGCATCCCACTAAACCTCAGAAGCAAAAAATACAGGCAGCTACTGTATGTCCCGTGGGTCATGAATGGGTTAATGGTTTGTTGTTTCTGTGGTGTTTTACTGTGTTCTGTGCTCTTGAGGTCACATGCCTCTATCGTATCTGTACAATACAAAGTCTACAACATGGTGGTAACTGCACATCTCCACCGTGGTCCGGGACAGCACAGACTAGTTAACACCTCGGCAGGCAGCTTGCCGTGTGAACTCAGAGGAACTGAAAGATCTGGGCTGGCCAGGCTCTGGCTTCCATGAGTCAGTGACTCCAGCAGGGACTGCACAGTTTAGCGGTTTCATTACCACACTTGGGAAGAATGTCGGGCCTGGGACAGAGAGCTCTGCTAGTAAATCTCACAGATAAAGCAGGTCAGAGGTCGGGGTACCACTATGACTCCTGGCTGCACAGATGCAGAGCACCCCAGCCAGTGCTGGGCAGGCCAGCTGTGTCCGGTCCTGTCTGAGAGGGCTCTGCACCTCCCTCCTTTGAGGGACCCACATGCCCAGCCTTGCTCCCCTGTCTTGAGCAGGGCCGGTCAATGCGGTAGCCACCAGCTGTGCTGTGGGGTAAAACACACTGGGTTCTAGAGTCTTGGTAAAAAAAAATGTATATACATGTCATTAATTTTTATATTGAGTACACATTGAAAGGGAGCTCTGGTAGCATAGTGCCTAAGGCACTTGACTGCTAACCAGAAGGCTGGCAGTTCAAACCCACCAGCCTGTCCTCGGAAGGAAGGTTGGGCAATCTACTTCTGTAGTGATACTGCCTCGAAAACCCAAGGAGGGGTTGCTGTGAGTCGGGGCTGACACCACCACCACACGTTGAAATGATAAATACTTAGGTTAAATGAAATAGATTTTGAAATTTCATTTCACTGTTTCCTTTGCCTTCTTCTTCTGTGGCTACTGGAAAATTTAGAATTGCATGCTTGACCTACGTGTGGCTGCAGCGTTGTCCCACTGGACAGCTGTCAAGTAAATGGGGGAGGGGAGCTTATGAAAGGCCAGCACTAGCCCTGGCGGTCCCGCGGTTAAGCTCTTAGCTGCTCACCAGAAGGCTGGCAGTTCAAACCCCTCCCAAGGCTCCAGGGAGGAAGATCATGACAACTGCAAGCCCAGACAACCCTAGAGGCCACTTCCCCCCTGCCCTTGAGTCACTGAGTGGGAATCAACTCAAAGGCACCCAGTAACAATGATAATAACAGCTGCCTGTCATCAACCACTGTGAGCCCTCCGTGCAGTTCCTCCTGTGATCTGAGGCAGGGGACTGGCTGCGGCACTGCCACCAGCAGGCAGAGTCTCCAGCCCCCAGCAGCCCATTAGCCCCAAGGCCATCCCCACCACAGCCCTCCCCCTCTACAGCTGTTGCTTTCACGGCCTCTAACTGCAGTTTTGTTTCCCCCCTCTTGCTGGTTCTCCACTCAGACCTGCTCCTCAGCAGCCCCGTCAAGCGCCCAGACCTGCCCATGCCGCCTACATCAAGTGAAAAGCCAGCTGGCCCCCTTCTCCAACAGTGAAGACTCAAGTTTGCACTATCTTTCAACTCCAGTTGGAGTAACTTTTTTGTACCAACTTGTAGGATTTTTAATGTTTAAAACACCATTATTGTAAGGACTTGGAGCTACTGCCCTCGGTGCTGTGCTATGGTGCTCTGTATTCGTGCTCAGGTACTTGTAAATTATTAATTTATGCCGAATGCTTACTGCAGCGCAGTGCGCTGTGGTGGGCATCTTACCACCCTTGAGTTTTCCATGGAAGGAAGGTTTGTTGTGCTTTTAATATTTTAGTGAACTTGAAATATCCTGCCTTATGGGACTCTGGACAGGATGCTTACTTTCTGATGGAGTTGTTATTAGAGAGCTGATGTTAGCAGTCCCACTGTGACCCATGGCTAGGGTTCTGGTACCAGACCCAGCCTCCTAGGGTGAAACTTTGAGGTTCTGGAACCCCCTATCTCGGCCCAGTGCCCAGGGCTCCACTCCCCTGCTTAGCTTTCAGGGAGGCCCCTTAATGGCTAGCAGGCAGGCCCACGAAGGGTTGCACCTTGAACTTCTGGGCAGCAGGGCAGAGTCTGGTTTCTAGCCAGAAAGCTCTGGAGAGAACCTGGCTTGCAGACAGGAATCTTAGGGTGTGGCTAAACCAGGAGAGAAACTGACTTGGAGGCCAGCCAGAGGTTCACACCAGCCCGGAGCACAGTTGGAGATAGGCAAGGAAGAGCTTTGTGGTTTTGCTCCAGGTTTCACTCTTTAGAAACACCAAGAACTTCTTTTCCTGGCTGCCCTCGACAGATTACTGGCCTCTGCATAGGATTTAGATTGGGAGAAGGGTGTCTCTACAAGCAAGCTCCTGCCCAGGTACTGCCACCTGTCTGCAGCTGACTCAATTACCACCTCACCTTCTCCGTGGTACCTCAGTGACCCTGGGCTCAGACAGAAAAGGCTCTCCTCCCTGGACCAGATCCAGTCCATTCGGGCAGGAGATTAAGATTCCCTTTGTCTGCAAGGTTCAACTTATGAAAAATCAGGCAGAATCCTTATGCTCACAAGAACTACAGCCCAACTGAATGCTGTACTCCCCGTGAGGGCCTGGCATGTACAGCACTATGTACAGACGACCAATAACTTAGCTACCACCGCGCTTCCCTTTGGGGCATCTCATGTTCCTAGCTGGACCACAGGGATCCTTAAAAGACATTGTCACCATCGAATCTGAATCTGCTGTAACTATTCATGAAGTGTGGGCTTGGCCAGCAGCCCCCTTCAACCTTGTCCTCTTGAGATGTCTGACTGGGGGGCCATTATCAGATGGCATGAGAAATTCCAAAATACTTCATAAAGGTGCCATGCCCTTCTGCCTCGCGCTGGCTTGCACAGTGGGGTCATGCGTGATGAGTTTCTGCCTCACAGGGAAACTGACAAAAGTCACTCAGTATTTGGTGATCCAAGTTTCTTCACAGACCATTCCAACACCCTTCCTATGCCTTGAAGCAGAGAGAAAAATATTCCAAGAATCTTCAGTTTCCTTCCGGAAAACAACATTGCATTTAACTCCCGAGCCACGTGTCCCCACTCCATCTGGGAAACATACTGTTCATGCTTCTAGGTAAACTAAATCAACCCACCCACACAAAAGGGAACCCAGCTCAGTACATTCCAGCTCTTATATAATAAACAGATGCACTCATACTGTAATATTAAAAAAAAAAGTTCATGTTAAGTATCGCTGATGAGATACATACAGAATTACTGGAACTGGAACTACACCTGCTGATTGTACTAAGGTCAAAGCAGACACTGTTGAGGAAGCTGATGCAGTCTTTATGGTACATGATTGAGGCACTGTCCTTACACACACCAGACCCCAAGATCCTATCTCAAGGAAAAAGGCGGGCACTTTTGTCGCTTTTCTTACCTGTCATCCCAGTGCTTCTGTTACACAGCACCAGGAACAGTGTGATATTAATGCTGTGATGTCATCAGTGGCCACTCAGGGGCTTTGGCTGATGACATTCCTGTCTCCATAGTACTAGTTATTAAAGGAATTGCAGGGCTTGAGAAAAGTAATTTAATAATATTAAAGGAATAATACTGCCAGGATGTAATACTCATCAGATGAAGGCATTTAGCAGTAATTGTCATTTGAGTGTATCTTAGGAAAAGAACCAATACCCAAGTGTGGAGGAAGTGTCCCCCTTTATACATCCTCACTGTGATGGAAGTGAAACTCAAACACATTTTAGTGCCATCTGCCATCTGATTGCACCTACATATTGAAAAGCTTTCACACACAAGAAGAAGAGATTAATTTGAGTGTGACAGGCCCCCACAGAATACAGCCATGCAGCCTAGCCATAAAGTTGACCCTCAGGGTTAGGGACTTTCCTTCCTCCTGCCAATTACAGTGCTAGGTCATGTGACCCCACTTTCCTGGGAGGTACATGACTAATCTTCTAGGCATTCCATTTAACGGTTTACCTCCTGGAAGTTTTTGTAACCGTTTTCCCAACACATGGAATCAGACATGCAGCAACTGAGAGAAACCATGCCTAACGTTTTCCATTGTCAAAGTGTGTCTGTGGCCATTGCACTGCCCAGTGAGACTCCTTCAGCTGCACGCGTGGGAGGACACCACAGAACACAGACTACATGAGAACACACACTCCCCAGTCACCTCAGAGGGAGCACTTTTATGCCTCTTAACGCTATTAGGATTCTTAGCCTCAAACACCAGGCTGTTCCCTGGCAACCGAGACAATGACATCAAGGCCTCCCCTGACAGAAAACCGCTCAAGCTCGGATCTGCATTAGGATGTTCTTGGGAGCCTGTGGTATCCCATGGTGCTTTGTAGGCCCTGAGGCTGGCTGAGGAGAACCTGAGGCCTCAGCCACCTTCAGTGGATGTTTACCACACACTCTGAGGCAACGGGCCCTGCTGAATGCAAGAACTGCAGCTTCCGTGTCAGCCTGACTGCACCAGGCTCACCTTCATTTTAAGGCAGGCGCCCAGGGCTCCCAGGAGGTCCCTCCTCACTGCCAAGTGACCCTCCCAGAGGCCCTCCACACCAATGCCTGGCCGGGTAGCTCTCAGGCTGTGATATCCACACACAGGTACCACCTCTTCTCCTCCCCTCCACAGCTGCCATCCCATGCTGGAAGCCAGCCCTAAAATGCCTTGGTGCCTCCCCCTGGCACACCTGGAGGCCCATAAACACAGCCAGACACAGGAAACCAGAGATAACACAGACTGGCCTTTCCCCATCACTCAGGTCATGGTAACCCAGTGTGGTCACCATGAGTCAGAATCAACTCATCAGCAACCAGCAACATCAGATACAATCTCAGTTCCTAGGCCAGACCTAATGCCACTGCTTCTTTCTCCTCTCCGACCATCAGAATCCTGCTCTCACAGCTCCTCCAGGTCCACCCGTTGGACACCCAGAGCCACCTTGCAGCCACAAGAGCCCTCCCCTAGACAGATCCCCAGTGACCTCCTGCTAAACACGTGTCCTAATTCCAAGAGGAGTTAAGCTGTAGAAACTTAGTTTATCTATGATAGCAAAATTCTCTTACCCTAAAGTTCCCAGCAACATCCGTTTCTTTCAAACCTATTTGAAACCCCTATTTAGAGTTACACAGGCCCAAGCTCCATGCCAGATCAAGGAGGAAAGGAAAAAAAAAAAAAAAAAACAAGAGGGGTGACACTCCTGAAAAGGATTTGGAAGCCCACTTGCCAAGAAGCTTGTCTGTGCAGTAAGGAAACTCCTAGAAGCAACAGGCCTCTGTATCAACACGCAGTTTCCCTGCCTTTCATGAACACATCCCTTCTTTCTTTGCAACAACAATGGCAGTTACGGACCAGACAGTGAGTACTTGTTTCCTATGAGCAAACCTGGGAGAAAAACTGCACCTGAACCCACTCCATTGGTCAGTAACAGACAGTGGCAGCCGGAAGACCAAACACACAATCAAGGTCTACGGTTTGACGGGATTCAGCTCTTTCAAGTTGAATACGCTGTGACCCATCCCAACTGCCCACATTTTCAAACACCACATTCTCTGTTCCCTGTGATTCTCCTTCTATAAAGTATGGTTTTTTAGTCCTCAATTTAGCCCATTTTAAGGCAACACCAAAAGGAGCCCTGGTGGTACAGTGGCTAAGGGCTGGGCTGCTAAGCAAAAGGTTTGTGGTTCAGACCCACCAGGATGTCTGCTGCCCTCAAGACGACCACCTAGGAAACCCTATGGAGACTGTTAGTTGTTCTCTGCCATTTAGGGCCTCTATGAAATGAATCAACTCAATGGCACCCAACAACAACATGGGTTGGAGATGACTTAGCGGCCTGCACACAACACTACCACCACCAGACAAAAGAGTAAACGTCACGTGATTAGTTTAGTTTTACAAGGAACTGAATGGCATCTACGTTCATGCTTCTAAGTAGGTACTTTAAATAGAGCAATGAAAGAAAATAAACCCCATCAGAAAGACAAGTCCCGTAGACTCCCAGGCAGAACACATGGTGCACAGGACTGCCTTGTCCCTTTGTCCCTTCTGTGAGGTCAGTTGGTGGGCTGGAGGGAAGGTCCATTGCTGGAATGTGTGTGGCAACTCTTAAGTATAACTTTAAACTCAGCTACGGCTACTCAGCACAGATTAAACTTACGGCAACATAATCCAGAACATGAATTTTATAGTGCTGCAACCATTTATAATGCTTTGGTTTGCTGTTTTTTCACATACCTTTTTATGTTAGTTACAGTCTTACTTTTGTACACATTTCCTGTATCAGGGTTCAACAGGTAAACGCCACCTGAAAAAGTCATTAAGAATATTATATCCAATAAATGGTATACAACAAGAATGAAGACTTGTTTCGCTCATTACCGAGAATGTTACAAAATTAAAAAAAAAAAAATAGAATTTTATGTTCTCATTCATCAATACATAAAGAGAACTTGGAGGGGTATGTAAGAAACTAAGGGAAAGAGTCAGGTGGCGAGGGAAGGAGGTGTGCGGCCAATCCCGTACCAAACAGCAGACGAGGGGTAAGGATACAAGCTATGGCAACTTTTCACACACAAAATAAACTGAACAGTATGAATGTCTAACCTTCCCAAAAAACTAGAGAGCTCACCTTACTTAACGTAAGAGATGAAGTCAGAGAGCAAGCAGGCAAGGACAGAGACGTTAATATCAGACAGGACTGGATTAAATAAAGGGAGCGTAGCCACCACCGCTCCTCGGAAGGAAGACCGGGCCATCTACTTCCGTAGAGATACCTCCTCGGAAACCCAAGGAGGGGGCTCTAGGAGTCGGGACCAACTGGATGGCAGAAGTTTGGTTTGTTTTTTAAAATCCAGATTGAAAAGCTAAAGCCAATCGGTGTCTATTTACAAATAAAACATAGTGTCCTATGACTGTATACCCAAACACACAGAATGTACCTTCTTCCCAACTGCCTCTGAAGGGGAGCAGGTGATCTTAAGCCATAAATGGTACAGAAAAGTCCTCCAACTATAACAGACAAAGCAGAAAAGCAATGTGATCCCCCAGAAGTGTAGTAATTCCCGGGTCAGGGATGAATTGAGGGTTGCTGAGAAATAGCCAATAAGAGTCTTATCGACACCCCATGGCAGTGCTTCACAAACTTCTTGACTTTTAAGAATTCCCCTGGGATGCTTCTGCTCAGGCTGCACTCCACCCCCTTGATAATTCCAATTCAGAGGGCCTAAGATGGACCTTAAAATTTATATTTAACAAGTACCCCCACCAACTGAACCTTAGCAATAGGAAAGTAGAAAATTTCCTGTTGAAATACAAGTAAAACAGTGCTGTGGGGAAAATTTACAGTCCTAGATACATACATAAACAAAAAGAAGAATATGAGTTTAATATCCAATGCAAAAAGTTAGAAAACAAGATAAAGCTGAAGAAAATGGAAAGAATGAATGTGTAGAAATAGAAAGTAGAAGTTAGAGAAATAGAATAAAGACTTGAGCTGCTGCTTTGGGAAGATTAAAACATGAGATAAACCACCATCTGAGCATGTTGATGTTGACACAATAGCCTTAAGAATGGACTCAAACCAATCAGCTGTCTTGAAGATGACATAGGACCCACTGTCTGTCACATGTAAATGTCAGCGCCAACACAACAGCAGCTCAACAGTCTAGTAAAGAAAGAGATAATGAGCAGATACACACAGCACATGGGATGTATATACAGCACATGGGATTTAGAATCCAAGTCCAGTAGAGCCACAGACTATTTTGGGAACATGGCATGGATCAATACTACAAAAAAATCTAATAATCCAGGTCACCAAATTGATAAGATTCAGAGGGAAGTGTCAATTACCACAGTGCTAAAAAGTCATTTTGCTAAAAAGACATTTGATAGTCACTGAAATTCCTTATCCTAATTCCCCAGTGCTGTGGTCACAAGCCACATCACAAGTGGGTGGCTCTGAAGAATTCGTTTGCTACAGCTGACATGGCTAGAAGTGGGAGTTTAGAGAGAGTTCTCAATCAGCTTCTAGAAGCTGCAACAATCCATGGCATCATTGGGCTTACAGAGACGTTTGACTGCTGCCAGCTCCTCTTGCCCACGTTTGTGTCTGTTCCACTCTGTCATAACTCAGGAGTGATTAGATTTAGGAGCCACTCTGGATTCATTAATGTTCCAAACACAAACAGGGTGAGGTCTAAAGGTGCAAGGGTTCAGACTGCAGTGTGGCCAGGGGTGGAGGCAGTGGGCAGACACAATCCATTCTTGAATTTTTGCAAATCTGAAAAAGAAACCACAGGACTTGGAGATGCTAATATTGTTCGTGGGAAGTTAAATTCACAGATAGCAGGACATGATCAGTCAATTTTAGGCCACTGTATACTGCAGTGACCACTCTTGAACCTCAGTGAGTTACCATTGAAGGCCTCCCATCCTGGATGGCCCCCAGCTTGTCTCTCAGGCCCTGGGCTGATGGAGTAGCTTCCGTCAAGCCATGGCTGGCCTGTGGCTGGCAGGAGGTGGAGTGACATGGGGGAAGTCTTGAAATCTGTGCCCTGGAGGGGCAGGTGCCGTCCTACTCCCATCTCCTTAGCCCACAGCAGTCACACCACAGGAGAGTGGGAAGCTGTATGTCAGAGAGCAGGGAAGTATCCTTTCTCTATAGAAAGGGCTGCAGCTACAACCTGCAACAGACCAAGGAGGGAACTGAGGTAGATGTCGAGGCTGACCACACAAAGGGGGCACGGAACTTTAGAAGGCTGTGAATCCGCTGATTGTTATTTAGAGAGGTTTTTAAAAGTCCAACTGAGCAAATTTAAAGGGAGACTCACATTCCGAAGGTAAACCACTGGTGAAAGTTTTGTGTAGTTCACTGTACGTAAATTCTGTTTCAATAAAACGTAGTAAGAAAAAATACAACACAGTGAAAGATCAAAGGACAGGACTGTACGTGGTCCACAAATCCAGTTTCTATGGTAGACACTCTACAGACTAACGGGATGGAACAGAGGGTTCCCAACACCAGTACCCTTGATGCACGTGCCCTTGCCATCCTCCCCAAAGCTTTGCCAGTGTCGGGTACCCCCTCACCGGTCTTCCCCTGCAGATCCCCGAAGATGGTGGGCTGCTGGGCCAGAGTCAGTCCACTAGTAAAGTCACGAAACACACTTGGTCTGCTGGTGACCATCCGTGCCAGCTTATGTCTTCACTGAGTGAAAGCCCCACCACACTCGTGTCTTTAAGCTCCCAACCATCAGACATGGTTGCAGTTCACTCCTGCTTGCCTACGAACTGCACGGTCAGCATCGAGAACCTCTCTGTGCTACAGGCTCAATGTCACACACTGATCTCCAACAAAGGCATCACGGGCCCACCGCTGGGTCTTCCATCGTCAGGGCCTAACTATGTGCACACACATCCTCACACCTGTGTTTTCTAAGACCACTGACCCCTCCTGGACCCCCTGACAGAGCAGTCTTCTAAAGCGGATTTTCTGCTTTGCTGTGAGCCAACAGCTAGGGAGGACATCACTCCGGAAGACCGTACACTGGGCAGAAAGAACACCCGTGAGCACACACGAGGGGACCCACCTCCCCAGGCCCCCGGAGTGGCTCAAAGGACAGCGTGAGGGGCAGAGCAGGGAGCAGGAGGCTCACACACGTCTGTGTAGCTCTGCTACTAATGATTGTGTTTCCTGTCCAACTCCAAAAGGCATGAGGGTAAGTAGACGTGCCAGCAGTACAGATGCCCAGTGACGATACCAGACACATGCACTTAGGTAAAAAGATGTATTTCAAAGTGGGAACAGTTGTACGTTACAATAAAGTCACTGTGAATCTTCAACTAAATAAATAATCAAACGTAGAACCGTTGAAGACGCAGAATGTCCTATTTCTAGTTCGGCTATGTTTTGCTTTGTTTTACTTGGATTCCGTAGAAACGCAGTGCTCAGATCAGCAGGCCGAAGACTTCATCAGCATTTCCTTCTTCTTCCTTTCCTCTAATAAGAAGACTACGTTCTAGGCAGACAAAACAAACAGGTGAATGGAACCCAGGGTTCTGGTGGTTGGTTCAGTTTTCAAAGTACTACAGAATTAGCCTCGAAAGGCAAACATCCCAACCTGTCTGTCAAAGACTCTGGCCATTTCTAAGACGCCTTTGCCAAACTGCAAAGAGGAAAGGACAAGAATTACACAATTATCTCCAAGTATCCAAACTACCTATAAACAGACACACTTTCTTCTCCCAGGAAAATTGGTAGTTACGTGAAAGGCACATTACTCACCTCGTTTTTGACACTCGCATCAGCTCCTTTGTCGAGAAGTAGCTGGACAAGCTCTTCATGATTGTTTAACACAGCCACCTGTAAGCAAGGGTCGGGGTGAGCACACTCACTGGCCAGGCCACACGGCTTCATGGGGACAGGCGTGTGTACCACCAACTCCACTGTGATGACACCTGAGGGAACACGGAAACAGAACCTGCCTTTCTGCACATAACATCCCACTAAGAGCAGCTCAAGCAGGCCAGCCCAGAAGGCAGCGAGTTCTTGGTTTGAACAGATCTGTTTTGACCCTATGGTGGCCCTGGAGGCTGGGCTGGGAAATCTTTGAAGAAATGCTTGTAAAACGACAACATGAATATTATAGTGATGTTCTCATGCTGTGATTAACAGGCCAGTGGGGAACCAGTACATAGCCAGACCCCACGGCTGCTAAACTCTCAAGAACTGTTTAATTACAGAATATCTCTGACCTGGCTCCCAACCTAAAACTGGGCTGTTTGCTGAGGGTGGACATACCATCAGAGGGGTCTTCCCATCTTTATCTTTCACATTCACGTCTGCTCCAGCCTCAATTAAGAGAGAAGCAACTTGCTGGTCCCCAGATATCGCAGAGACTCGCATGAGCGGGGTCCACCCCGAGCCAGCATCCACAGCATCTACCTGTGGGCCAGAGAGCTGCTCTTAGCCCTGCTTCTCCCTGTAAGTTATTTGTCATCAACTTACCAAAAAATCTACCCATGTTCCCCTGCTTTGCATAGTGGTCTCTCGAGACCTCCTAAGAGTTCATGGGAGCGTGCTCATTTGATTCCCATTGATACCCAATGAGAAGAAATGTTAGAATCCCGGTGGGGGGGCAGTCCCTTGGTGCCATCTTATCCATGTTCTTTCCAGGGGAAAGAGGTTGGGACGGAAACGTTCATTCTCCATCAGCACCTGTTCTGGGCTCACTTTCTCACCTGTATTTAAGCACAGTTTGTCTTGCTTAGCTTCATGTATCGGTGAAAGCCACGGCAAACGCTTTCAGGAATAGGGAGAGAGACACCCTCCTCCTTCTCCTTGGTTCTTCCCAGTTTCCAGCTGGAGACCCCCAGGGCAGAGTGCACACAAAGCAACTAAGCTCTGTGACCCAAACTCCACCCTGAAAAGGAAGCCGACCTGGTGCCTTGTTCAAAATGGCCACTTCCCAATAATCTTTACATCGGAATCTCAGCTGAGTGTTTTGAAAGACACCTTTGAGATAAGAAAATTTAAACAGTGTCCTCCAATTCCAGGGTAACTAAACCAAAACCAAAACCAAATTCACTGCCATCGAGTCGAGTCCCACTCCTAGTGACCCCCATTGGGTTTCTAAGGCTGTCAATCTTTACGGAATCAGACTGCCTCATCTTTCCTCCACAGAGCAGGTGGTGGGTTTGAACCACCGACCTCTTAGTTAACAGCCAAATATCTTAACCACTACACCACCAGAGTCCTTCCAATTCCAAGGAAGACCTCACCAATCCATGAAGAATGGTATGAAAGCAAAACTGCACACCACACAAATTCTGTTGCAGAAGTACTCAAACATCACCTGTAGCTTTAGCAAAACAGGCTGGAATAAGCACCAAAGCACTGCTGGTAGACGCCAGGCCGTGGCAGGTTGGTCTCCACCCAACACTGTCAGGTGCACACAGTGTCTTGTCCGTGCAAACAATCTCTGTGCAGTGGGCACCACTGCATGAAAATAATACTAAAACCATCTCCTCCTGTTACATAGTGCTCTACACGGTTTCCATCTTGGTGGAGGGAAACCCTGCACCTTCAACGGGGATCGAATTTTTATCTCTGCTTCCCAAGCAACAGAGCCAGATGTCAGAGAAGTCAAGCACCTTTCCCGAGGTCACATAGCTTGCTAAGTAGAGAAAAGAAAGCAAGCCACTCCAAGAAGAGAGTCATGAGACTGGGGAGCAAGGCAGTGATGCCCTGCAAGGCCCTCAGATCTCCCCACAGCCTTCCCAAGTAGCAGAGGAGGGACCTGCCAAGAACAAGGGGAGACTTGTTTTTGACAGCATCTACCCCCAACCAACAATTGGAGTGGACACAGCAGCTCCAGTGCCACAGAAAAAGATGGTGCCCATCCCAAAATGTGCCCACTCTTAAGTCCAGAGAGCCTTCGTTCCCAACATTCCAATATTCCAGTGTCCGTGGCACAGACCCGCCCTATTCGGACACCTTTTCTTCTTTCAGCACAGGCCAACCCCTCCCTCTCCACTAGAAGCCTTCACTGGGTCCCAGACATGGGCAGCAGTCGTCATAAACAAGGGGAGCCCTAGCTGTCACTGCCACATATGGCAAGTGGGACCCCAGCCCAACCACTGAGGACCACAAGCTACACCTTCTTGCTGTTTGTGCCCATTTCTAATCTATCTTTTTAAAGATACACAGACACAAGAATTGTAATAAAAAGTTTTATCATTGGCTGAGACTATTCCCGCCATGGGGCACTGTCCTCAACTCCAAAGACGGCAGTAGCAGTAACACATCACACTCCAGACAACCCATGGGATCCCACAGCCTTGCTGTCGGTCACACTTCAGAAACAACCTAGAATACAGCTAACATCTTCCAGGAGACATGGCTCCGCTCAGTTTGAGTATTTTCCAGGCCATCGATTCAATTTCTCAATATTCAACACCATCTGGCAATCACAATTAGGGCAACATTTTGTACATCATTCCTTTATGCCATGCCTTAAAATCTGTATTTAACATCTTGAAGTCTTGAACTAAAGTTAGCAAAGCTACTAGCTGTTACCATAACTGATCTAGTTCTATTTACCCACCTATAAAGATCTTTAGACACATCAACGACTCCATTTCTATTCGCTGACTCAAACTTGTACTTGCTGATGGCACAGAATCAGACCAGCAAATACACCTGTCCCCAGGTGAAGACCGAAGGGCTCAAATACTGCACACCTGATACAGACAGTTCCCTCTGTATGTCGTCACCAGAGCTCCTTTTTGGGTTTTTTGTTTTGTTTTGTTAATCTTTCAAACTAGCCAGGGATGAGAGTAATCTGATTTTACAGCAACGAGCAGAAACTACATCCTAAGAGTTCTCAGCAGGCTGGTGTCCCAGCACCTAGGTCGGTGCGTGGGAAATGCTTGATAAAACTCCGTCAACAGATGGAATGGAGAGAGAAATAAGTGAACAAGCAAAGATAGGACTAGAAGCAACATCAGGTCTGACCCTGGATTCGAACACCTGAATACATGAGCAGAACCTCTGTGACAATTTGAGGTCCCATCATCATCTCAGTTGTAAAGTAATCCTTTCCAAGGCTTCAGGAACCTTCTTGCCGTTAAGCTGAGCATTTTGAGGTTCAACTAACCAACAGCACCATGGCATGGGGAGCCCTGGCGTGTCAGACTAGAGCTGTGCTCCAGGGGGTCAGCGGCTGATTTTTCAGAAATAGACCACCAGGCCTCTTTGCAGCTGCCTCTGGGTGAACTTGAACCTCCAACCTCTCAGTTCACAGCTGAGTGCATTAACCGCCAGCACCCCTCAGGGACTCCACGTAACCGTCTGTCTGTGGTTAAGGAAGAAGACCCCTACCTCACAGCCGTCCTTGATCATCCACTCAATCACACCACAGTGGCCTCCGTCCGCAGCCCAGTGCAGAGCTGTGCAGCCTCCCAGGTCTCTAGTCTCCCAAGAAGCGCCGTGTCTCCGGAGGTATTTCACAACATCTAGGTGTCCCGCGTAGCACGCGAGCATGAGACTGCAACACACGGAAGCGGCACTAGACTACAAGTGCAAAGGTGCAGGGTGACTGGCCCAGCCTGGCAGTCACCTAACCCAGGTCCATGTTTTACCCCGCTGCTGCCGTTGTGTGCTGTCGAGTTGATTCCGACTTATGGTGACCCTACAGGACACAGTAGAACTACCCCACAGGGTTTCCAAAGCTGTAATCTTTATGGGAACAGATCATCAGGTATTTTCGCCTGTAGAGACTCTGGTACATTCAAGCACCAGCCTCTGGGGTAGCAGCCAAGTGCATAACCACTGTGCCACCAGGACTCCATTTTATCCCACCTGGCTTAAACCATGAAATCCTAACTTGAGTGGGAAAGTGCTAAGAGTTATTCACATGAAATGTCTCTCTGTCACTGACAAACACAGTAGAATATTATTCAGTCGTAAAAAGAAATGAAGTATGAACACATACAACATAGACAAGGCTTGAACAGTATCACATTCAATGAAGAAAGCCGTTCACAAGCATTTCATATTATATAATTCCACTCATGAGTCATCTGGTACAGGCAAACATAGAGAAAGCACACTGGTGGCACAGTGGTTAAGTGCTTAGCTGCAAACCAAAAGGTAAGAGGTTCAAACCCACCAGAGGTGGTGCAAGAGAAAGATGTGGCAGTCTGCTTCCATAAAGATTGGGGGGGGGGGAAGCCCCACTGCCATCAGGTTGGTTCCAACTCACAGTGACTATAGGACATACTAGAGCTTCCCCACTGGGTTTCCAAGGCTGTAAACCTTTACAGAAGGAGCCTGCCTTATCTTCCTCCCATGGAGTAGCTAGTGAGTTAGGACTGCTGACCTTCTGGTTAGCAGCCCAATGCTTTAACCACAGCGACACCAGAGCTCACATTAAGATTATCAAAAAAAAAAAAAAAAAACAATTCACTGCCATCAAGCCAGTTCCAACTCATTGTGAGCCCTCCTTGGGTTTCCCAAGGCGGTATCTCTATGGAAGTAGATTGCTTAGTCTTCCAAGGAGTGGCTGGTGGGTTTGAACTGCCAGCTTTCTGGTTTGGAAATCCTATGGGGCAGTTCTCTGTCCTACAGGGTCACTATGAGTCACAATCGACTTGATGACAATGGGTTTGGACTTTTACAGAGATAGAGGACAGACTGGTGGTGCCAGGGGCTGGGAGAGGGAGGGATGGGGAGTGACTGCCAAGCTTTCTCCTTGGAGTGATGGAAATGTGCTGATATTTGGTCACGTGGTGAGGGTAACGCAACTTGGTAAACATTAAAAACACCGAATGGTACATTGTAAATGGTGAATTGTATGGTGTGTGAGTTTTTCAATAAAAAAAGAATAATGACAATCATTGTGTATAAAATATTGAATTTTAAAACATCCACGAGCCCATGATGATATTCAAAAAAGATCAAAGGGAAAAAAATTATTCATTTGACACTATCAGAGAGTAACTATTAAACCAACTCCTTACACTATGGTAATTAAATGAAAAAATTAAACATGTGCTCTGTCTTTGTAGGATGAAACGTAGTCCACCCCCAGTTGATAAGAAAAAGCTCTTCTTTACCGAAGACTGACAGCTAATAACTACAGGAGAGATCATGGAATTAGAAAGTGACTTATTTGCAACCCTCAATTAAAAATTGATGCAATGCAAGACCATCAATGGATGCCAACATCATTGAGTGATGGCAAACCTGATATTCACACATGCTCAGTTATCAACCCGACAGATGCCTTTCCAGCTTCAGCAGGAAGACAGCATCTTTACAAAGGGGAGGTCTGGCTGCCACTTCCTTAACCAAATGATTTGACCCAGCATAAACAACTGGGGGACAACCGGCACGCGGCAGGAATCAGCCAGCGTCGCTCCAAGTGCTCCTGCGAAAACGGCTAATGTCATCGAGACTTTAGACTAATTTCAGCTTTATAGGAAGTAAGGAGATAGATGAACAAGTTGAATGCCTCTTCCCCCAAAATTAGGAAACCATTAGACAAATCCAGAACACAGGGTATCCTGTGAGATGACTCGGTGTACTCTCCTCACAAAGTCAATGTTAGGGGAAACGAGAAGAGGGCACGAGATCAGAATGCAAGAGACAAAAGAGATGGCCCAAACCAGACACACTGTGTGGGAATGCAGGCGTGTCCGTGTTTCATTTCCTCTTACCGTCAGATTTTAGCAGTAAGCTCGCCATCTGCAGCTTTCCAGCTTCCTCTCCGCTCTGGCGAAGTTCAGGGTTAGTACCTGTACCTGGAGAATCTGAACAAACTTCCCGAGAACACAGACAGCCCTAGAGGCCATGTGACAGGGAATTCTTTGATACCTCTTTAACTTCTTGCTTGAATATTGGTTATTGCATATTTTCTGCTTCTTGGGTCAATTCTGGTGATTTAACTTTTTTTTCAGAAAAATTATGATTTAAAAAGCATTAAACTATCAAATCTCATCATGTGATATATAACAGTGCCACGGGCTATTTTCTCGTCGTCTTCAAATTTCCTCTGTAACCACTGACGTCCCTTTCAAATTTCTGATTTTTTCTTTTTTCTTAGATTTATGAGAGATTGATCTGTTTTAAAAGGCAGCTTTTTTAACTTCTGAATCATTCTGATTTTTAACTAATTTCTACTTTCAATCATTTCCTCATTTCTTTTTTGTTATCTTTTCCCTTTTTAAGTTGGTATTGTTCTTTTCCAAATTTCTTAAGTTGATTGCTTAACTCCGGAGTGGCTAGAGTTATTTGGAAAACTACTTTTTAAGGTATAAGTGATTTTTAAGCTGTTTTTATTTAAAATCTCATACCACCTTATATGCAGAGTGCATGGTCAGTAGCATTTCTGACTTTAGCAATCCATGTTCCCTGTATAGCCTAGCATATGCGATCAGTGTCTCATAGCTTTCCCTCCTTGTCTGCAGTGCACAGGTTTGATCCTTATTTACCACGTGCAGTTCTGTGGGCAGAGGCTCTGGCTCTGGCTCACTGCTCTCCCCCAGCGCCACGCCCCATACCTGGCTTGTGGTCCACATCCAATAAATATTGGTTGATTCAACGTAACCTATTAGATCAGTGATTATCTTTTAAGTCTTTGGAAAATATTCTTTCACCTGTAAGTAATGTACGAGTTTTCTGCTAGAGGACTTTTTCTCTGTCCTTTATAATGTGTTCCATAAACTCTACAAGGTTTCTAAGCATCGGGCGCTTTTCACCAACATCTCCTGGGATGCACTCCACCCCTCAGGTACAAGTCCTTTCACCTCAGGAAGTTCTCCGGTTGCATCTTCGTCATTTCAGCTTCCTCCTTCAGGAACACCTCAAGCTCTTCATCCAGAGTCAGGCTGGCATGCCCCAAGAGCCTTGAGGGGGTTGTCCTGGGTCCAAGGCCGATGGTCAAAGCCAAATGCCCACACAGGCCTGGGAGCAGCAGTCATTTTTTCCTGAGCACTAATCATGTGCTGGGCTTTGAGCTACCGAAAGGATACACCTAACAGAGGCTTGGTGAATGAGAGAGTCCATAACAAGTGAATTCACTGGCTTTTGTTGTCATCTTTCCTGTGGGATGTGCTCACCTGTAGTCCCCTCAGAAGAAACTGAGTGAAATGCCTGGGTGAAACCAAACCCCTCTGGACACAAGCCTAGTAACACTCTTCTGGGAGCCCCACCACCTTTCAGGCCACATGCCACCAACATACCTGTCCTTGCCACTTCCATTCTTCACGTTCACATCTGTGCCATTCGAAACCAGGATTTTCACAAGCCTGAAGGAAACATGTTTATGAGGACCACTGATGGCTGGGAACCATGACTCGGTACAACTGAGCAACGTCGCATATAGGACAAATCTCTGCAGTGCCGCCTTCTCCCAGAGGCCCACTGCTTTTAGAGACAAGGCAACAGAAGACCAGAAAACTACCATTGCCCCCTGCCCTGCCTCCGCAAATAACATGCGTTCTCTATGTTTGCTTGCCAGCTGCCCCCTCCCCGACTATTTCTGCAAACACATTATGCTAATTTTTTCACAGCAACCTGTAAAGAAGCAAAGTTGGAGCAGCTGCACTTGGGGGAGGGAACAGCTGGTCAACAAACATAGAAGGTAAGTGTGATTTGTTGAAAAAATATGGGACCTCTGTGTTCTTGAATCTGGAGCCAGATTCAAAAATACACGAGAAGGAAGAAGTACTCAACATAAAAAGTGGGGTTTCCACCCTCTGCATAGATCACAGAAAACAAACATACTATAAGAAACAAAGTGGACTGATGAAATAATTCACTGTCATTTGAATGATCATTTCTAACACATTCTCAAATGTATTTAATGAAAATACATCTCCACATTTTTCCAAATATTGTCTTAGCAATTAAAATACAAAGGTGATTGAAAAAATAAGACATCAGTACGTATGCTTATCACTTCTTTTTTTGGGGGGAGGAGGGTGAATGGGCAAACTGATCTTTACTTGGCTGACCTGGAAGGCTTGCCCTCATCTCGGGCATTGGCCTCAGCTGTTTACCAAAACTCACTGTACAGTATTTACAGCAACCTGCTAGAGACGCAGTGGCCTCTGAGCAATTAGGGAAGGGGTCAGAATAAGCCGGGGAGCCAACCTCTGAAACCAAGGTGGAGGCAGAAATCTCTCGGTGTGATTTGAGGGAAGAATAAGGGCGAAAGGATAAGGGAGGCTGGTGAGGTAGACGTGAGGGAGGAAGTTGAAGTATCTAGCAGCCTTTGGAGCAGAGATGGGCAGAGTCACCTAGACAGAGTCCTGAAATTCTGATTTGGCGTTTGAAGGGGAAAAGCTACCATAAGCCACTTCTGTGAGAAAAGGCAGTTAGACTCTTACAGACCAAACCTCCCATCACCCCTTCGTATTCGTGGGACAGGGGCCTGAGAAGGTGAGAAAGAGATGTCTACACATGGCATCCTCAAAAACATGAAGAGGACAAGGGAAAGAGAATCGAGGGAGCCAGCGACAGTGTAATAAACGGGGAGACCACCAGGGCTCCGGCACAATGACAGGCAACGACGAAGGCTGTATCTCCGAGGGAATCTACGCGGGAAGCTTGTTCTCCAGAACTAAGAGCTGCCTCCCCTTCTTAAAAAGAAATTCAAATTCCAGTCCCTGGTTTTCCCAGGAGACACACAAGACATGGGATGTAATTAAGCGGCTGCCTCTCTTCTGGTAACATGGGATGATACAGTTTACCTTCTCTGCTTTGTTATTTAAAAAAAAAAAAAAAAAGGCTGAATTTGTAAGTCATGATGGGGTACAACTTTGGAAAGGGAGAGTTGCCTCCACAGCCCTTTGGCTTCCCAGGCCGACCTGAGCCTTGGGTTGGGGAGTTTAACATCCCACCATCCACTCAGAGGCGAGAAGAGCCCTACCTGGTGTATCCTTTCTGGGCAGCGACCATCAGAGCAGTAAAGCCAAACTTATTGGGAACATCAACCTTGACGTTGCTTGGGAGAAACACAGAGAGAAGAGGTTAACATGCTGTGTATGGCTCCCTGTAGGCTGGCCATGACAGCACTGGCTGGGCTCAGGTGGCTACGATGGTTCATTTTACCGAAAATCCCTATTTCTTCTGGGCCATTAAGTTTCTGTTGTCGTAGACTGCCCTAATATTTTAAAAGATTCAAATGTACAGGAATAGAAGAGCAAATTGCTGTAATTTCCCTTAAAATAGGCCCTCCTTTCAACTCAAAACCATTGTGTGCTGTGATAAAACCACCCGTGAAGAGCGAAGCGTCTTTGAATTCTGAGCACCCATCTGCTGCAGACGTGCTCGGCTCCACCCGACAGGAGCCTGCCTTTGTGAAGACCTGTGTTTTTCTCTCAAATCCCCGTCACCTCCTCATCTTGAAGTGATGTCAGTCAAAGAAGGAAGCGAAGCTGCTGGATGCCAGCCGGGAGGCTTGGGCTGTCTGTGGGAACACTGTCATCTCCAACCTAGAGCCCCGGTTCACTAATGGCACTCAGAATCCTGACTCTAGATAGCCTTGTCTATTTTCATGTAGATGGCAGCTGCATATGGGAGCCCCTCTGAGGTGAGTGTCCTCGCCCTTGCCTTCTGAGGTCTCAGAGTCTCTCAACTGAGAAACCAGCCAATGCTCTCATTCCCTGACCCCATCAGCAAGCAGCTTTAAGTGCTCCGGGGTGAGACCTGCCTGAGTGCGTGACATGCAAGCAGGGGTCAGAAATGGTTTCTAAGAAGGGCTGACCCCCAGACAGGTCATCTCCTTTGATCATTTTACTGAAACAGTTACAGAATATACCATAAGCTTACAGTCAGTCTCTCCCTCACTGCACTGCACTCACCGGGCACCTCACATCCACTCTGGAGCTAGATTCAAAGGCCCAGGAAATGTTAGGGGAGCAAAATAAAGCCACATCACACCCACACACTTTGTGGGCATTTATTTAAAAAAAAAAAAAAAAAAGACCTGGTTGAACCCTCTCACCCTCCTTGAAGGATTCGAATAAGCAGCTCTTCATCGTTCACGTTGACAGCGCGATGGAAGTGCTCGCTACTTATGGGTTCCCCTAAAGAGATGAGAACGAGCAGTCATCAGAGGGCAGCAGCAGAAGCTTCCTCCCGGCCCCTCACCATCTGTGCCCTTGAGCCCATGAGCACATTCACCTCCATGAAGGCACTTGGCCATCCAGTGAGCCCAGCTTGTCCTACCATCACTGCTTTCCCTGAAAAAGACCATGCCTCCACACGACAGGAACAACATGCAATCTGACCTAAAGCTTTGGGGGGTCTGGGTGGTGCACTGATTAAGTGCTCTGCTGCTAACTGAGAAGTAGGTGATCAGAGCCCACCAGCTGCAGGAGAAACACCTGACAATGTGCTCCCGTAAAGGTTACAGCCCTGGAAGCCCTGGGGGACAGTCTACTCCGTCCTGTATGGTCACTATGATAGGAATCAACTAAATGGCACACCACAATAGAGTCTGGGACATTTTCAAGTTATCAAAGTATTGCTTTGTGAATGTTATTTTGCTATTTGATAACAATCCTTTCAGATTTCATAAGATAGGCTAGAGTTCTGCAGACTCTTCATTATTCTTTAACCATGTTCATGGCAGATGCCAAGCCCAATTGGCACAACATACTACACAAAAACATTGTTTTGCATCCTACTTTGTCGAGTAGAGACTGGGATCTTAAAAGCTTCTGAGAACCCATCTAAGATACAACAACTGGTCTCTACTCATCCAGACCAAAGTAGAATAAAGATATGTGGAACAATTAGTCCAAAGGACTAGTGGACCTCAGCCTACCTCACCCTGAGACCAGAAGAACTAGATGGTGCCCAGCTACCAGGGTCAACTTCTTGGAAAGGGACCAGTGCAGAAGATCCTAGACAGAGTGGAGAAAATGTGGAAAACTCAAAGTCATGAAAAAAAGACGTGGCTTACTGATCTGAGAAAGTGCTGAGATCCCCAAGACTCTGGCTCCTAGTCACCCTTCAGGCCCAAAATTAAACTTAATCCCATGGCTTTCAGTCAAAAAACTGGCCTACAAAGTGAGCAATTACATGAGGGAGGTACACACCGACAATCAAGCCTGGGAGATCAGAAGGGCAGCGTTTGCACAGGGAGAAAGCTCAGAGGGCAGGAATGCAGAGGAAAGGAGGCCCCGGGAGGAGGTAACCACAGGGAGGAGGTGGGCATTGCAAACAATGTCATGAAACAAAATGAACTACTGAATGGAGAATGAATTTGCTCTGTACACTTTCCCCCAAGTAACAATAAATAGGCCCAAAGCCAAGTTAAGACTTAATGTCTCCTTAAAGGAAAAGCTCAGCTATAGCAGCAATGTACCTGTTCTGTCAGAAAGTCATCACGCTACTTGGACAACAAGCAATAAAAAGACTGCTTTAACGTCTGCTATCCAGAACCTTAACTTGTCCCAGGACACGATACTCATGTGGCCTTGTCTTTCCTGAGCACTGGGGGCACGAGGGCTCCTCCACAGGGAGGTGGGGCTCCACCACAAAGTGGGCAGAACAGACCAGAAGCAGGCATCTAAGGAACATGAAAAGCAACAAGCGGCCCTTTGTCTGGGAACGTGAGCTCCTCCCAGAAGAGGAGTGGGCACGAATTCAGCAACGAGGCACAAGTTCAGGTCAAGGACAAAGGACAAAGTGGAAACCACCCATGCTGCACCTCCATAAGGCACCAACCTACCTCATGGCTCTACTCACTTCACATGCCAACCTCCAGCTCTGAAGTAAGTATCACAGACTTACGTCAAATAGGACCGTGAAGCACTCGCAATGGCATGAGGTCACGGCCTCCACACCTGTCTGCTGTGGAGGTTACAGACGCATGGTGGCAGCTGTCATCCTGTCCTTTGGTACAGCCCCTCCAATCTTGTCATGCCCAGTCTCTTCCCACACTTAGAACACCTCCCTGGCCCAGACAGGCACTTGAGTTTATGATCCCTGTCTGGAGAAGGTCTCATTCACTCACTCATTCAACACTGAGTGTCTCATGTGTCAAGTCTAATGCTGGACACCGGGGACCTTAGAGACTCAGACAACATTTCCATCGCAGTGCCCACTTCTGGCCCACACTGACTGAGCGCCTAAAAGGCAACAGCCGCCACTCTGGAACCCGCCCCCCCCCTGCCCCCCGGGTTCCTGCAGGGCTCACCCCACCACTGCACCTGCCTCTTCCAGTCGGGCCTACAGAGGTGCCTCGGCCATTGGCCACAGGCTGCAGGAAATCTCTGCTCCCCTCCTTACACTGGGGGCCTCTGGAGAGTCAGCTCTCTGGCACAGGCACCACCTGACTCGGTTTCCTAAGGTTTCAGCCATGCACAGGGAACCATGCCAAGTACACTGGGAAAATAGGGAATGGAACAATGAAGGGGTGGCTGTGGGAACCCCCATCAGCAGACATCCTTTCCTTTTTCCTGGTATAAGATAAATTTATGCCAAGTTAACATTGTTCTAAATTAATGCTCTTGTCTGCTAGAGCCTGCCAACCTCCTAAGGACTGTCCTCAGCCACAGTATACTTCCTCTTTGTCATCCCACACACATTTTCAGACCCAAAGCTTCTAACGGAAGTATCGTGATAAACCAATGACAGCCAGGCCCACAGCCACCCATGGACTCTCAACAGAGCTCATCCTAGCCTGGCTAGTCTCAACATGGAAGGGTGGGGGATGGGGAGGCCAAGGGTTTTGCCCCATCCCCTGGGCTCTGGCAATGTCTGGAGACATTTTCGGTTGCCACACCCAGGGCAGGGTCCTACTGGCACCTAGCGGGTCAAGACCACATATGCTAACTGAGCAGCCCACCACGTACAGGACGGCCCCACACCTATCCAACCCAGACAGCACCAGTGCCGAGGCTGAGCGGCTCTGGACTAGAGGATATGGACTTAAAATGACGTCATGGGATCCTGCCACCTTTAGGTGGACAAACTAAGCCCCTAGGAACATTCCCTTCCCTCCAGCTCCCTAGAAAGGAGGGAAAGACTGGTGGGGTTGTCAGTCTCTACTATTCCACAAAACAGCCCCCCCACACACACACACACACACACACACTTCTACAACCCTCAAATGTCAATTACCACCAAAATGTACAAACAAGTCATCTACACAGTCACCTATAAGAACACACGAGGCACACTGCATTCCTGTTAAGTTTTAAAACATGGTATCCTAAATCAAACTTTGTGAATTAAGCTGTATACAGGACTGTCTACATGCTTCTCAGAGTCTCCTTCAAACCACAAAACTGAGGCCTGGAAGGTTGAGTGGGTGGTCCGAGGTCCCAGCTAGTACCAGGCAGCTAGTACCAGAGCAGCTAGTACCAGGCAGCTAGTACCAGAGCAGCTAGTACCAGAGCAGCTAGTACCAG